GCTCCACCCTTGCCATTGCAGGTATTTGGGGAACGAAACAGCAGATAGAATGTCCCTCTCTCCCTCCCTCTCTCTCTCTCTCTCATACTCTCTCACAAATAAATAAATTTTTTAAAACCCTCAGATGATTCTTAAATATATTATTAAGTTTGAAAACACCTGGTATAAATAAATGCATACAGTGAAAGACTCAATATTGTTGAGATACAAGTTCCCTGCAAATTAATCTATATACTACTTCTAACAAAAAAAATCTCAATCAAAATCCCAGAAGACTTTTTTAGTGGAATTTGAGAAGATGATCCTAATATGGATATGGAAATGGTAAGGACCTAGAATAATCAAGGCAATTTGAAAAACAAAACAAAAGATTTGATGGCTAATGTTATCTGATTTCAAATATTAAAAACTGGGGCTGGCCCTGTGGTGCAGCGGGTTAAAGCCCTGGCCTGCACTGCTAGCATCTCCTATGGGCACCAGTTCAAGTCCCAGCTGATCCATTTCTGATCTCAAGTCTTGGGCCCCTGCACCCAAGTTGAAAACCCAGAAGAAGCTCCTGGTTCCTGGCTTTGGATCAGCTCAGCTCCAGCCTTTTGGGGAGTGAACCAGCAGATAGAAGACCTGTCTGTCTGTCCATATGTCTCTCTGTAACTCTGTCTTTCAAATAAATAAAATAAATGAATCTTTAAATAAAAAAAAGAATTAAAAACTACAGTAATCAAAATAGCTTACCATGGCATCAAATTAGACAAACAGACCAAATAAAATGTCCAGGAATAAATCCATACATATATGAATAATTGACATTTGACAAAGGTACAAGGGCCATTCTGTGGAGGACAGCTTTCTTCTTTCCCTCCCTTTTTCTCTCTCTCTTTCAAACAGAATTGAAATGATATATTCATATACATATATATAGATACAACAAAAAATTAACTTAGACCTTGCATCATATACAAAAATTAACTCAAAATAAATCATAAACTTCTCTATAAAACAGAAAACCTATGGAGGAAAACATAGAAAAAAACTCTATGACTTCAGTTTAAGCAAAGTTTGAGTTCCTGAGTAAATGAAACAGCTTGCTATTTTTTAATTAACCTTAAGTGCTACTAACTTAAACTCACTTTCCTGAGGATAGGAAGAAAAATGCATTTCAGGAATTAATTTAGAGATCTTAAAATACACTATAGTTAATAACACATTTCTTGCCACCACTGTAACCATACATCAACTCCTTACTTAAAGACTGAAAATTCAATTGAGAAAAAAGTTGGCATTTATTCTTCCTTTTCTGTCAGAATTGAACTGTAGGGTGATCAAATGGCCCTATATGATAAGGAAAAAAATATGAAAAAAAGTTCCTTTCAGAAATTCTAGCTAATACAAGGAATATTTTTAAAGTTCATAGAAAATGCATGTTACAAAAAAGTATGCATAGATTTCAACTTTTTGCACCACAATAAATTGATCATTTAATTCACTTTTTCTATGACCTTTTAGAAGTTCACTTGAATATGAAAAATGAAAGATAGAATAAGCAACTATCATTTTGCAGCATCAAGTAATTTAGGGAAACATAAACCACTAGGTGAAAGGTCAGTGGTGGGAGGTAGCATTTGTTTACAGCATTCCAATTATCACCTCTCAATTACTTCCTTCCTGGACTCCATTAACCAGTTTTGGATACCCACCTTTGTGTGCATCTTGCAATGTTGCTATGGTTTGAATGTGATTGTCTCCAAGAAGTCATGCAGATGTTAATCCCCCAAATTTCATGTTAATGGAATTAAGAGGGTGGAAACTCAGTCTAACTAAGATGTTTGGAGGAGAGGCCTAGGAAGAGTGATTAGATCACTAGGGCGAAGACTCCATGATTGAATTCTGGTGGCTTTATAAGAATGGAGGGGCCAGCGCTGAGGCATAGCAGGTAGAGCCACTGTCTGCAGCGCTGGCATCCCATGTGAGCACTGGTTGAAGTCCCAGCTGCTCCTCTTCTGATCCAGCTCTCACTATGTCCCGGGAAGGCAGTAGAAGATGACTTAAGTTCTTGGGCCCCTGCAACCATGTAGAAGACCTGAAAGAAGCTCCTGGCTTCAGATTGGCCCAGCTCTGGCTGTTGCAGCCATTTGGGGAGTGAACCAGCAGATAGAAGACTCCTCTCTTTCCTTTCTTTCTTCCTCTTTATTTTTCTCTTTCTCTGCCTCTGCCTCTTTGTAACTCTTTCAAATAAATAAATAAGTCTTTAAAAAAGAAGAAGAATGGAGAGAATACTCAGACATGGACAGATGCACCTGCTCCTGCCATAATGTGATGTAGCCAGATGTGGCCCTTGCCAGAGCCTGAGTCATGCCTTTTGGACTTTGAACTTTCAAAGCCATGAGAAGAAATAAACTTCTTTTTTTTTTAAAGCAGCCTGCCTCAGATATTTTGTTAATATAATAACTAAAATGCTAATACAAATGGGAAGCACACAGCAGTCTGTGGAAAGTCCGTTGCCAGAGTTTCACTGAAGTTTAATCAAGCTCATAGCTCTAACTTCAATTTTAAAAGAAACACAGTGGAAAAAGGAACACATCGATGCTATGCAGAAGCAATCAGACAAATCCACACGTGAAACATCCTGTGGGACATATGACCTGGTTACTTCAGTGCTTCACTGACAAGAAAACAAATGCAGGCACAACGTTTTAGATGAAAACACACATAAAACCCACAAGGGTCTTGTTTGGATCCATGTTCAAATTGCCACTAAAAGTATATTTTGTCATGATTTAGGAGATGTGAGTATGAACGGGGTTTAGATTATTTTGAACAGATTTTGTTAATTATATTGAGTTTGACAATGGTACCATGGTTATGTATGAAATATTTAGTTTTAAGATATTTATATTAAAGTATTTAGGATGAAAACACCATAAATGACTTAATACTTTTGCAAAGTCACACATAAATATGGCAAATGATTAAATAATTATAAACCTAGGTAATGAGTATATGGGAATTCATTCCCTTCTCTCTTCTGTGTTGGAAATTTCCATTATTTTCAAAACATGATAATATAAAGTAACATGCTCTTAGTAACAAAGTGTGTAAAATTTAAAGTGTGTAAAGAAATTGTCAATGGAGTTACTGTGATTCAAATCAAATTGAGTGTAGCTTATTGAGTCCTATCAATTCCTACTTACTAATCCTAATTACTACCTCAAGTCATATGTGGCTAAAACCAGCTGCTCCTGAACCATGTGACCTTCAGCAATTTACTTCATCTCTGGGCTTCCTCATCTCTAACATGATGAGGGCAACACACCCTCACCCTCAAGGGTTGCTGTTAGATTATATGTTAATGCTCTTAAGGACATGGAAGGTGGTTAGCTCCTCTTCCAGATGATAAAGCAGAAACAGTCACTGAACAAGCACTTCTTGCCCATCCATGGCCAGGAACGTGCTAGGTGCTCCGTCAGAGATTTGTAGACTAGCATGGTCATTCAGACATTTCTCAAAAACCCATAGACACAAATACAACCAGTGACAAGCTCCATGAAAAGGGCGTGGGCTCTCAAGGATGTGCCCAATGGTCAGTTGGAAGTCAGGTTCCCAGTTCAAGCCATTAAAGCAGATGATGGCAGTGCCCTGGTTAAAGCAGGGACATTGGCTAGAATACATGGCTTTGTATCCAGCTCTTTCACCTACGACCATCTGTGTGACTGAGAACTGTTCTTCACCTGGTATTTCCCTCATCTGTACAAGGAGTATAGGAATAGTCCCTACCTCATGGGGGTGGCATGGGAGTGTAAGGATCACACACTTAAAAGAAGAAGGTGTTTAGCATGCGACACCAACTAAGCCTTGTAAGGTTGTCCCTTATTATCTTGATGGTCCTCTGGTCCAGAGCAAAAGGCCATGGAATACTTCCAGCCCACTCACTGTTTGCCCTGTGAGGACCTAATGAGTTAATGTTTGAGTTGCCTTTCTCACAAGCCTTACTTGCACACTAGAGTCACTCAAAGTTCTCTAAAAAAAAGGGGGGGGGGTGTTCTGATGCAATAGTTGGGCTCTGGGCATCTGTATGTTTCAGAAGTTCCTCCTGGGATTCCTGTGTGCAGCCAAGGGTGGAGAACCACTAATATAGGTAGTGAAAACACAAAGTGCAAAAACCCCAAAAAGCATAAAAACTCTGCTATGCAAAGAGTTTTACTATTATCACAGCACCAACAGGGTAAAATCCAGGATCTTAGAGCATACAAAAATGATTTTCACTTCCAGAAGAGTTTAAGTTCTCATAGAAGGGGTTCCCCCAAATTCCTTCTTCCTATACTACTCCCATTTACTATAAGAGCGGAACAAACTTTTAGAAAAACGTCACCCTGCCCATATAGACTCGTGCACCTTTCTACCTGGGCTTGAACTGGGAATCGGTCGGGACACACTCCTCGGCCTTACCATCCCCAGTTGAAAGCCGTTCAACACAACCCAATAATCCGGGCGGCTGCAGAAAGGCGCACCAGGGAGACGGGACACACGGGAAAATGTTCATGGCTATTTGTCATGAGGGTGGGGACACGAGACTCAGGTGTTCAATACGTCGGCACTACTGTTTCATTTATGAATCACAGTTCAAGAAACGAGTTTACCAGCTTCAGGGGAACTAAGTATGTTCGACAGCGCCATGGGGTCTCGGTTCTACCTGGGTGCACACGGTTGCCAAAACTCACCGAGCTGTTTGTTTATAACCCGAGTCATTTATTGGAGAATAACACCTCGATTTTTAAAATCACATAGGGGAAGATACAGTCGGCAAACAGTGGTTCATTACGAGCTACACGTGGGTAAGGAAACCCCAGCCGGCAGCTCCGCGTCAGCTGCAAGCGCCCTCTGTGACCTGGCCGCTCCGGCTGACAGCGGCACCTGGTTGGAGCGTCCCGCAAGGACAGCCTGCAGCGCGGAGCTGCAGCCCGGGCGCCCGGCTGGGTCGTTCGCGGCCCGGGCGGGTTCCTTACCCAGCAGCAGGAAGGACAGGACCCACTGCAGCACCGCCGCCGTCTGCAGCCGCCTCGCCAGGGGAATGTTGAGTGGCGCAAACTCCACCTTCATGGTCTGGCCCGGCTAGGATGGCGCCAACCGCAGCAGCCTGTACCCTCGCTGCTCTGCGGCGCCTGCGGGAAGTGTGCGGCCGGATCGGAGACCGGCGGCCGGATCGGAGGTCGGTGGAGGAGGCGGTGGCCTGGGAACAGGCGGGGACTGGACTTCGCCTTGGGTGGAAAGGCGCGCCTGGGCTGAGACCGGGGGCTGCCAATCATACTTGCTGGACGCAAGCAGAGGCCCGGAGCGCCCCAGGCGCATGGGCTGGCGCGCCTCGGGGCGAGCAGGAGATCGCCAAGGGCACAAGGGACTGAGAGAGGGGTCAGCTGGCGACAGGTCCTAGCGCGACAGCCCTGTTTCCTGCCCCCTTGCCGAAGACCTGGGCTCTTCACTGGGATATGTCCATTGTTTAGGCTGATGGATCACCGTGCGCCAGGCTTCAGTATCCGCCCTTAAACCCACCCCTTCCTCCAAACCCCCTATGCCTGAGGAATGGTTGGTTTCAAGGGATTGCACACCAGCTGGAGGGACCTGGCTTCTTAGTTTTTCTGCCTGTGTCTCTACAGCACCCCCAAACTCCGAGTTGGGTATCAGGGGCACTGGCTTCCTAGCTCTTGAACCTCAGATCCCTACATGAGTCCTGGAAAGTTTCCATTTACTCTTTCATTCGACCCACGTTTGTGGAACATCTACCTTGTCGAGCACCATTCTGGGAGCTGGGGATACACCGGATAACCAAGTCCTTCATCCTGTTTTTCTCAGGGTACAGATTACGGAGGGAAACAAATATTAGCAAGATAACCACACAATTGGATGTATAATTATGAGACCCTACTGAGTGCATGACTGGCTGATGATTTGAGGACCTGGCCTGGAGGATTAGGGACACATCTCAAGAAGTGTAACAAGGAATTAAGTTCATTGAGAGAGTCCTATAGTCAAAGAAAGGTACACATGCAAAGGTTCAGTGACAAATTCAAAGAAGATCAATATAGTGGGAGATTGGGGTGAGTGAGGCAAAACTGCGGGACGGGAGCCAGGACCTGGCACACTGTTTGGGGTTCTAGTCTTTACCTTAAGAGCAATACAGGATTGGGGCTGGCGCTGTGGCATAGTGGGCTAAGCCTCCACCTGTAGTGCCAGTATCCCCTATGGCATGGGTTTGTATCTCCGCTGCTCCTCTTCCAATCCAGCTCTCTGCTATGGTCTGGAAAGCAGTAGAAGATGGACCTAGTGCTGAGCCAGTATCCTTCGTGGAAGCTCCTGGCTCCTGGCTTCGGATAGGAGCCCTGCTCCAGCCGTTGCGGCCATTTGGAGAGTGAACCAGCAGATGGAAGACCTTTCTTTCTGCCTCTCCCTCTCTCTGTAACTCTACCTCTCAAATAAATAAAAACCTCAAAAAAAAAAAAAAAAAGTAATACAGGACACTGAATTTGATGCATTAATTGGATGGATAGATTCAAAATAGTGCCTAATCCTTGTGAGCATGCACTCCATTTTCTTTATAAATATTGATAACTGTATAGTTGAAAAACTCCAAGTGGCAGGTGGCTGTCATTGCTAGAGGGGATCTAGAACAAGGCAAAACAGCAGAGCTGACTCTTCGCCCCTTCTCCATTATTTACATACAGAGGAAGTTAGATGAAAACATGCACCAGGGTCACTTGAAGTTTTCCTTTCTGATGCAAAACTTGTGTTTGAGTGGGTTTTTTTCCTAGTTAAGGAGTCACTTTCTTCTTCCCTTTTAAATGTTTTTCTCTGAACCTTCCCCCAATGCTATGAGCACAGACTATATATGACACTGTGCTGGTCCTTTACACGCCTGACCTCACCCTACAGCAACCACACAGAATTAGCATTAACCAGCATCAGCTTTGCAGCTAAGGAACTCAAGGGTCAAAATCACACAACTGGTAAGCAGCACAATGAAGATTCACACACAGTTTTCTAAAAGGCGAGTCATCCATTCAGCAACTGGATCAGACATGGAACAGTATCTATAGAGTACATGCTTTGCATTGAGCATTGTCTTTGGTGTGAATGGCACAGAAGTGAATTAAGACATAGTGGGGGCTGGCGCAATGGCTCAATAGGCTAATCCTCCGCCTGCGGCGCTGGCACACCGGGTTCTAGTCCCAGTCGGGGCGCTGGATTCTGTCCCGGTTGCCCCTCTTCCAAGCCAGCTCTCTGCTGTGGCCCAGGAGTGCAGTGGAGGATGGCCCAAGTCCTTGGGCCCTGCACCCCAATGGGAGACCAGGATAAGCACCTGGCTCCTGCCTTCAGATCAACGTGGTGCGCCCACCATGGCGGCCATTGGAGGGTGAACCAACAGCAAAAGGAAGACCTTTCTCTCTGTCTCTCTCTCTCACTGTCCACTCTGCCTGTCAAAAAAAAATTAAAAAAAAAAGACATAGTGGGGAGGGGGCGGCACTGTGGCATGGCTGGTGAAGCCACTGTCTACAGTGCCAGCATCCCATATGGGCACCAGTTCTAGTCCTGGCTGCTCCACTTCCAATCCAGCTTTCTGCTGTGGCCTGGGAAGGCAGTGGAAGATGGCCCAAGTCCTTGGGCCCCTGCACCCAAGTGGGAAACCTGGAGGAGGTGCTCCTGGCTCCTGGCTTCGGATCAGAGCAGCTTTGGCTGTTGTGGCCATCAGCGGAGTGAACCAGTGGATGGAAGTCCTTTCTCTCTCAGCCTCTGCCTCTCTGTAACTCTTCCTTTCAAATAAATAAATACATCTTAAAAAAAAAAAAAAAAGACATGGTGAGAATTCACCTGCATTCATTCATAAGTATTTGTGGAGAGGCTTCTAAGTTTTAGGTAATGAGTAGGAAGTAGGGATTGAGGTTGTACTATAATGGTGACTAAGAAATGTCCCTGCCCTTCTGGGACACATAGTCTAGTGAGAGAAAGAAAATATATATGTATGCAATCAAACAGGTGATAGTGCCCTGAAAGAAACATGTAGGCTCCAGTATAAAGAATAGTGGGTGGGCCGGCGCCGCGGCTCACTAGGCTAATCCTCCGCCTTGCGGCGCCAGCACACCGGGTTCTAGTCCCGGTCGGGGCACCCGATTCTGTCCCGGTTGCCCCTCTTCCAAGCCAGCTCTCTGCTGTGGCCAGGGAGTGCAGTGGAGGATGGCCCAAGTGCTTGGGCCCTGCACCCCATGGGAGACCAGGAAAAGCACCTGGCTCCTGCCATCGGATCAGCGCGGTGCGCTGGCCGCAGCGGCCATTGGAGGGTGAACCAATGGCAAAGGAAGACCTTTCTCTCTGTCTCTCTCTCTCTCACTGTCCACTCTGCCTGTCAAAAAAAAAAAAAAAAATGATTACCTACCAAATAGTGGGCATCTACTTACAGAGCAGGGGTAACAAAAGTGAAGTGCAAGCAGGGAGACTCCAAGGAGGCTGTAGGATGAGAGTAGAGCATTGTACCTTGGCCTATGGTGGAAGCGAGGGAGAATAGAGATGGACTTGAGATATGCATGAGCAGTAATTGGTAGGATCTGCTGATTAACCGGATTCATATTCGATGAATAAGAAAAGCAAATCACCCAGATCTCCCAATCACTTGGAGTGTCCTGTACTTTATAATGCCTTTGTCCCCTTCCCAGCACATATTGCTGATTGAAAAGCACTGTCCCCTCGTAGCCCACTGAAGCAAAACATGGGTCCCAGGATCCAGTCAATGCAACAATCCTTCACCATTTCGGTCAACAATTAAAACATTAACTCATTTTGATATTCAACATGTGTTTATTTTTATATACATTGTATGCTAGGTTATTGGAATTAAATGATTGTTGGATTGAAATGGTGAAAAAGTTTTAATTCATCAAGCTATTAAAAAGATTATTCCGTATGAGTCCCATTGCTCATCAGAATTAAAATTAACAAGCAGGGGTGGACATTCGGCCTAGTGGTGGTTAGATTTCCAGTGAGGTGCCTGCATCCCACATAAGAGTAACTGGGTTCGAGTCCTGACAGCTTCCTGCTAATATGTGCCCTGGGAGGCAGCAGGTGAGGGCTGAATAACCTGAGTTTCTGCCACCCGGAAGGGAGACCTGGATTGAGTTTCTGGCTGCTGGCTTCAGCATAGTCCAGCCCTGACAGTTGTAGACATTTAGGGTATGAACTAGCATATGGGAGAGCTCTCTCTCTCTCTCTGTTTCTGTCCCTCTTTTTTTTCTCCCTGCCTCTTAAATAAATAAATAATTTTAAAATAGGAAATGTAAAATAACTCCAAATTTGTTTTTAAGAAACTCTAATGGAAATAGGAATCTTACACATTGTCTTTCCTAACTACACATTTCGTGGAAAAGAGAATTGAAAAAAAGTGATTTTCTGGAATTACCAGACAAGTACTAGCCAGATGTAAACCTACCTCTCTTTAGAGTCACACAGCCAATTCTTGGCACAAATAACTAAAACAAACAAGGGAAAGTGATATAGTGTAAGAGAATGGTTTCAAATTTTTTCTTCCAGAGGATTTTTTTTTAATCTTCAAAAAATTGCAGTTTATAAAAAAATCAAATCAATGCCGTTCTGGTTGAAAAGAGATGGGGAATCAGATTTCTACCTGCTCAGCATCTCTTCCTAAAGTGACTGTATTTTTAGCAAAATGAAATCAGCAACACAGTCACAGAACTTCTTAGGATTTAGCAAAACCCAGCTTGGAAATCACTGCTTATTTTGTTCTTTCTTTGCTTTTGCTTTGTTTTTGTGGGTAACCCGATATTTGGAGAAACAGAGTTTGAATGAGGGTTGCAGTTCAAATGCATCTACATCAACATTATTGAGTACATACTACCTCCCAGGTACTATGCTATGTGCTTTATGTTGCCACGCCTGACTTAAAGCCCAAAGGACTCTCCACAATAGGTACTATTATTCCACTTACCAACAAGTAAACATAATAGAAACAACAAGGAAACATAATAGAAATCAGATGAATTATTCACTTGGTAAAGAGTAGAACCAGATCATTGCCTCTAGAGCCCAAGTTTTGTTTGTTTCTGAGCCACACTAAGGTATTTCTCAAATAATACTATAAGGAAGGAAGGGAGTGTTGTTGAAACCAAGGAAGTCATTGAATCACTGAATGACAAGGCAAAGAGGCCTGAAGATCAAGCTTGTCATGGTTTGAGTTGGGGTTAG